CCCCGCCCGGAAACAATCGATGCTTGCAACTGAATATCCCTCCCTTTGTTAGCGTCAGATTCCACATAGAGAAATTCCTTTGGTCCGATGAATCGTAAACTGTGTTCTATATATGCAGCCTCTTTCATGCCTACGAAGAACGTGAATTTGAGACAGCAAACGCCGTTCCTAACAATTCTGGCTCGTTTCTTCTGTCTGTGCTCTCGCAAGAATCGTGAGTAGTTATGGGACCGTTTGTGATCCCGAAACTTGTAATTGGCGCCACTGACGTGAGAGTTGTCTTGGGCAAATGGCCTCCGCGTTGCCGTCATCCTTCGGGACCTCCCCGTGGTTTCCTTGGCGGCGTGAAAGATGAATCCCCGACGACGCGGACAGATGCGTGCCTCATGTCTCATGAAATAAATGTTTTTGAAAATTATTTTGCTTTTATAACTGTGCAGCAATTCCAAAAACGTAGGCAAATTTTCCGTCAATAAATATAGCACAGAATTAAAACCTTAAGTGGGCTAATACTGGCAGTGAAGCAATGTTAAGTCAAAACTTGTGACAAAGACAGAGAAATTCCTATAACTCCGGCATCTTCCAGTATTTAGTCTGATGTTAATCGGAATAATGTTAGAGACTATCAGCTGCCTGTTAACTTGTACTGGCACAATCGAGAGGTTTCGTTCAATTCTTATGTTTGCATCGGTGATATGTTAACCAGATAATTACTTTCTCTAAATGTAAGGTCCATGTTCTGCTTTTAAAATCACTAAAAAGAATTCCTATAAACATACAGGCGCCATCTATTTTATGCGATTATGGAAATTCGACGCCCGACATCGGCATTGGATTCAATCAGCTGCGACAAATGCCTGGAATTTTTTAACGTCACAGAAATTCTTCGCGCCACTGCATTCAGACTAACAAAGAACATTTTCACAAAATTTGTGATCTTTTTGTAATTAATCTGTTATTTCGCACAGTTTTTCACTAACAGAGCGCAGGAAAATAGGTCAAGGTGTTGTTAAGAAATAAGTCATTTCCACATTTTGTGAGGAGTATTCCCAGGCTTAGAGAAGCTCGTTCAAAAATGCCTCGACGCCGTTGCTGACAGCCACACACAATCAGCGCTGTTCAGAGATTGTGAGATGTGTTTCTTTCACTGTCAATGACGCACACTAAATAAACTCAGAACAAAAGAGCCAATTACTCTAAATGGCATTTCTGGTGCATATCATGGAACGGATTAAATTAATCGATACGTGCTTGAAGAGTGGATTAACCACAACCGAGTGAACAGTGGCTCCGTGCTTGCACTGAAGAGCCATGTTCGGAATGCAATTAGACATTTATGAGCAAGGACTAATTAATTTGACACAGGAAATAATTCTACTACTCATTCCATCGGGTCGTACGGCCAGTTGATGTTAAACAGATTATGCCTTTCCATTGGTTTAATCGCTAATGTTTCGGCACACAACATTGTAAACTCAGGTCGTCATCCAAGATGACTGAGCAATTACTGAGTCGTTAGTGGAAAACAATTTGCTTAATCGAATTGTTAATTTCTTTATAGACACATAATAGACATGAACGAGAGAGTGGAGCCCTTTATGGTTGTGATAACTATCCATAAGATTTTGTTTTCCGTAATACTGCACCTCAGCCTGACTGTTGGTGGAGGCAACTGCGTTTTTAACATCAATTGAGCCCCCCTGATTAGATTTTATTGCATTTTCCATAAGCCTATAGTTGTAGAAAAGTTATAGGCCACAACATGACGTGACCTGCGTGTGTTATATCGATCTGATCGAGATTAATTTAATTGCATTTACCAGCATTTGCAGTGTTGCAGGGAGAGACCTCAATGTCTAAAATCGGATTCTGTCGAGGGGCTTCGCCTCATTGATAGTGATCACTAGGTTTAACACAGAAACTTCACTACGCAACCTTGCTCATTCGTCTATGGTCGTCTGTAGAAGATCAAAACCCGCCCTTATTGGGCTGTGTTCTAGAAAGAGGTTTATTTGTTTTTAATATTCCTTCATATTTATGTTTTGAGCTCTCGTTATATTTTTATTTATTTTTTACTTTGATCTGGCAGTGGAATTTTGGTAACTTAGATGAAAACCGAATTGATGTCTAGTGAGTTGGTACAGCTGGTACTGTGTCATCAGTCGCTGAGCTAATTAACACAATTGTGATGTGGTTACAAGCACTGAGGCAGTTCTCCTGAGCCTCAGAATTATAGAGAAGCTCTCGGATAGGCTTAATATGCAGCACAACACCAATTCCTTCTTTGTCCCAACCGGATCTCGTAAGTCGCTTCACGATCACTCCTTTGTAAACATCCGGTTGAAGAGGCAACCAACATGGAAGAAGGTATTATTTAGCGTCGTTAAAGGAAAGTGAATTTAATCTCTTAGACGTTAATGGTGACTATGTATACCACTTGATTTTCTTTGCACTCCTCTCGCAGTCTGTTTATAGATAAATTTACTTCTGACAACGCGCGTTCTTCTCAAGGTCATTTAAGTACATGTAACGATCAGGAAATGAATTTTCTTGAACGTAAGAGCAACGTTTCTGAACGTATCTAGAAAATTTGTGCCCCTTAAAGACCCAGAGTCTTCGTCAACGGAGCTCCGTCTGCCTGAATGTGGGGCAAAAAGGTGGCCGATTTTCTTATTTCTGTACGAACTCCCTCTCTCAGGACCAAGAATTCTCTTGTAACGAAGTGCCTGAAGAAGACCACGTACGTCGTCCCGCTCACTCCCATTTTTCATTTCCAAATAAACTGAACCCACTTCGATTAAGTCTGATATTGGGAGTCTTCTGTGAAGATTGTCAAGTGGATTTCATTCTACTTCATATCTGGTTCGACATAAAACCGGTTTTACACAAAGTGCAAATCTAAATTTTTGGCGACTACGCCGAATGGATGAGATGGTCGGGGAACGTGTGAAATGCGCATAAACTCGTGGCTTGAAAATATAAATAGAAGATCCCACTTGTGAGATCTGGGCGCAGATGGGAGAATAATATTTAGAAGTACATTACGAAAAATAGCGTGTCACGAGGTAGGCAGATTTATCTGGCGGACTCTTGTGAAGACGCTAATGAACCTTAGGTCTCCATAAAATACAGAGAATTTATTGAAAGCAAGCGATTGTAAGCGTAACAAGTACTACGCCATGGAAATAGCGTATTTAATTGAATAACAGGAGCTAAATTTGTGACTTTGTGCGATGTTAGAATTTATGTAGCCTACATTTGTGCTTACATAAGGACCAACAAGTTCTGCAGAACGCAAAAGACCTCATTTAGAAAACACCGTAGCATTTTTTCGACTCATGCTCAGTTGCTTACGCGTCTGAAATCGAAAGCTGAACTGACTATCTTCCTCTGGATCGGACGTGTGTTCTACAGGAATTGAGCGCAGTCCGGAAGTGAAGCTTTTTCCCTCGTCCGGAGTGGTTCGGGCGGCTCCGCGTCCTTTTGTGGACCAGAACCGCGTCTGGCAGCGCCTTCAAGCGTACACGATAATTCGTTGGCTTCTTCCGCGCCCATGACGGATTATAGTCGCTGTGAGAGAGGGGATTAATTGACCGGGCCTCGTCTAAACACCATTTGAGCGGGAGTTGAATGTTTGCTTGGAACTTAGAACGACGAGCTGCTGCTTAGTAGAGACTCAGAGTCAGTGTTTCGAAGACCGGGTCGATCAACACTGAAGGCGGTGGCCCCTTTTGTGGGACGCCGATTCAGACTCCGCGCAGTCCGTGCGGAAACAGTTTTGTAGAGCCGAGATAACAGAAGCATAAATTATAAATATGAGATCTAGACTAAAGTGGCTCAGATCGGGGTCTAATGCCCCGACTTTTTCGTTACTGGGACGAACTTTTGTGTGCCGTAGTTGGATGCTTGCGGATTAGTAGAATAACCTTTTAAAGGATTTCATAGAACACTGTACTGGTTGGTTACAAGCGAATGTGTGATTGTGGCGATGGCGGTAGCCACCAGCAAGCGTTGTCAGGTATAGACGAAGAATATTAGAAAATATTGAGTGCCTTGTCCACCACTAAACATGAATGTAAGGTAAACAAATAAGGGGAAAACGTTGATTAGTGAATATTCACATCCATAAAATAAATTCACGGAAGTAAGCAGCAGTCTGGAGTCTCCACGAGGACAGTTCCAGGCTTAACGTGACGCTTACATCAACAAAGTCGTGATGGAGTACAGGATAAGTTTCAAGTTGGCTCATCAATCACTCGCCCATTGTGGTTGGCCAACAGGAAATGGGCGATGAGAGAAAGGAGGAACAATGGCTTCAGACTTGGCTGGTGTGAGTGGCATCAACCAAGCAGAATGAGCTTCGTGGGACAGGTAGAAGATCAGAATTGTAGCCGGAAAACCTGAAGCAAAGGAGGATAACATTAAGATTGATCTCGCGGAAAAAGGGTTTGAACGCTGTTGTTCGGATTTATCCCTGAGACGAGCTGTTGTGAATGCGATGATAAGCCTTAGGATCCCGTAAAATAAGTCAATAGTAGGCCCCTTTGTCCGTCTATGGTTGCATTTCAACATTGGGTTAAATGAACTAACTAATTAACTGTGTAACTCCGCGGAGCAGACCTTCTTGGGAAGCTGAAAGTCGCTCAGCTAATCAACATCAGCTTTTTGAAACATTGAGTTCACGACATTTAATGTGCAAAACCAAAATACTAGGAATTGTTGAGACCGAAGGTGTGATGTACCAAATCAAACCCCACATTCTTAAACCTTGTGAGAATTTGTAGTTAGTATGCTGGTGAAAATAATGCTCTCATTAACACACTGGGGACGTGATACCAGATTGTTCCATAAATTGTAGATAATTAAAATAGGTAAATTAATGTTTCCCTTACGAATAAAATAAATAATTACAGTTTTACCTTCAATGCTATTACCCAAACACCAATTCGTGCTGCAAACGTTTACTGTCGTCAACATTCCTGATACTACGACATATCTTTAAGTCGTCAGCAAACACAAGATATTGAGAATTATAAATGGATTCACGTATATCAGTAATACATATTATAAAAGTGAAGGGCCTAAGGTGGAACCTACTAACCTACCTACTTACAATATGTGGAAACGAAAGTGTTTCATAAACACAGACAAAAGATTGCGTATTAACCATGTAATATTATTAATAATAAACCTAATCCTAATTAGTTAATAATTACTAAAGCATATGTTAGTTTCTGCGGATGTTAATGAATAACAAAACTGCACATTAAGAAACTTCACACACTCACACTGCGATGAAAGTTCTTCTGTGCAGAGCGAAGTGACCAGAGCGCGAAATTCATATTGTACCTCCATCCGCCTTCTACGCCTCTGTGGAATGGTGCTTAGATGCGGGAGTGACTTTACCCTTCGATCTTCGAAAGCTTGGGTATTCTAAAAATGTTTAATAAGATCTTGAAACGTGAAGCGGCCGCTGTTGGGTGGATTCTGAGCGTCTTGTATCTTTATATCTCTCGTAACTATGAATTAAAAATGTCTTTGTTCCCTCAGAGCCTTTGAAATGGCTAGTTTATTAGTTTATTGCCTGCGGATTATAAAATAACACAGCGTGATTTATTTATGTTTATCATAATTTATTTCCGTGACACGCAAAGACAAACTCGCTGTAAGTGTCGCATAATTAATGACAAATCTTTACTCTCTCTCCGGGTAAAATCACTAGTTAGTTACGTTTGTTGTTAGGTTCAAAACTTAATATGCACCAGAACGTCTTTCTTCTTAAAGGCGCCGTTTCGGCTAAAGGACTTGTCTGATTACGTAGACAGAACCTCCTCGATTTGCTGGTTGTTTATTCCACAATTACTGGGTTGTTGTATGTATTTGACAGGCGCTGCTCCATCGATGCTTCTTAATATTATTTTGCGCGTTGTTGTGTCAAGCTGAGTCAACTGCAACGAATGTCAGCAGTGTAGACTCGGAGCATCTGATCACTGAACACCCTGTGACGTCGTAGCTGACATTCAAAGCGTCAAAAGTGATGCTTGTGCTCTGCAGGTTTCTTGAAGACCGGGGCGCGAGGCAGCGCACAGGGTAACTTCGGGCTCATGGACCTGGTGGCGGGCCTGCACTGGCTGCGAGAAAATGCCGTGGCCTTCGGCGGCGACCCCGAACGAATCACGCTCTTGGGGCACGGAACAGGCGCGGTGCTCACCAACATCATCGCAGTATCGCCTGTCGCCAAAGGTAGGACACAGTTCGATGCCAGGCGCTGTGACCCATGCGATGGGTATTTGGAGCTCATGCCTTGGAATAAAATGGTCAGGGCGTGACGCTGACCTCTCACAAGCCGTTCTGAAGCCCTGTAAAATATGTAGAGTATGACAGTACTTTTTCTTGGGGACGTATGATTCGCTGCCCTCTGACCATCACTTTCCAGCAGTTTACAGCAGGAAAAAGCCATCAAAGATTCGATAATGTGAGTACAGTTTGGCTTATCAGCTTCCTGTATCAATGTATTCGCTCGCTCCATTCTGCATAAAGGGACTTGGACCCCTTCCCAGGTTTATAGATCAGTTGAACGTACAAGAATGCTATCGGCTATACCAGCCCAGACTTCTACTTACGTGGTCCTTAATTAAGCGCTATTGACAGACAGCTGCGCCCAGAGGTGTAATACTTGTGTCAGTTCTGCGCCGAGTTAAAATGTCTCGCACACAATTACTCTACGTAGATGGAGTTAAATGTCAAGTTTTGGGTTCCTGTGCCTCCCTTAGTAAAGCAGTCATCTTTCGATGATTAATTAAGATACTACATTTGTGCCAAAGCCGTTACGAAGATCTGTAAAGTTTCTAATTACTCCTGGATGATTGGGTTTTTAGAGTTTGTTCATAGTCTGATGTAAAATCACACAACTTTTCGAGGCCTTGATCTGTCTCCTCTTCAGGTGCTCTATGGGGTCCGTTAGAGTGAGTTAACCCCAATCATTGTACCAGTGACTGGGATTAGCACCTAAAGACGAGGACAGATCCAATCTTCAAAACGTTGTGTAATTTTACATCAGACGATGGAAAACATCAAAACACTCAGCAGTCTGTATTATACCATTATCAGAACCCTACAGAATCGAAAATAATTACTTCTATAATCAATTATTTGTATTCACGTTTACTGTTTTAAAATTTAAGAGAAATTAGAACTGTAATAATTGACGAGAAATCTTTATGTTTCAGTTGAAGTCGAACTGATTCTCAAAGTGGCCAGCCATGATTTAGTGTTGAAAGACATGACTTCCAGCAAATGTGAAACAGAACACAACATTCTTTAAAATAACCTACTTTAAAATAATATCATTTGAAATTGGTAAAATGATGAATGCCCAGTGATCTGTTGTGCGGTAGGACGACTGACCCCTGGATCGGAAGCAGCCCGCCTCGCCTTCATTCCGGAAAGTCACATTCAGTATCGCAGTCATTCGACGTAAATTATTCTTCAGAATCAGAAATAAAAACCAAGACTTCAATCCTATTTACATTAAGCCAACATTTTGCCACGAATCTAGTCAGAATAAGCGTTTCAAGGTCACGCGGCTGAAGCTTTGTCCGCTCGTTGCACGCTGATTAAAAAGTCTCTTCAGCTGGAAACGTGCGAAATCTCGTCCTGAACGGCAAAATTACAGCCGCCCGTCCCAGACAAAAGTTTGACAGAAATTTTGGAAGATCGTGGGTTAAAACAATGTTTATGAACGTAATCGATTACGCGACGAAACATTTACTTCAAATTTAACTAAGACTTTGACATTTATGTTAAACCAGCTGAAATATTGCAAGTTTGATCATGATATTACGATATTTAGTAATATTTTATGAATAATTCACAGTAAACTGTATGAATTTTAAGGAATTATCCTCGACGAACATTCGCTTTCTGTGGAGACCACGTCTAGTTCCGGCATCGTATAAAGACTGTGAGGGTCCACAGAAGTTAGACGAAGATGCCAGAAATTCTGTGGTATGCAGACAGACCTATATCGACTCATCAAGCGATAACTTGATTCCTTTTGGTTACTTAGAATATTTATGGATACACCAGAAATTCTGAAGCATGTATTTGAAAACATAAATGAACACTTTCAGTAAGCGTTCGTGCGAACATTGTGTTCCAACGACGTTATGACGAGGAAGATCCTTGGAAAGGGTCCCGGTTCGGACTAGGCGTTGGGCATTACCTAGGGGTGTCTCCAGGTGGCGAAGACCCCGAAAAGGACTAGCTCCCCGTGGATGTAGGAGCCTCTCTTCGCACTTCCGGTCCTCATCAGACCTGGATGATCTGCTCTGAGATGGCAGAAGACCATGGGAGTCCTACCTGGCAAACCCGGGGGGAAGGAGGCAAAGCAAGATGGCTCAAATAGTACCAATGGGAATGACAATAGGAATTTTAAAAAATTCGGAGTAATACGAATAACAAAAGAACTACAAAAATAATAAGAGCATCAGGATTAAGAATAACTACAGAAGTGAGAATAGAAACACGAGTATCAACAGCAAGAGAATTACAACAGAAATATTAATTACAATAAAAAAACAAATGACCAGTGGATAATTCATGCGGGCTGCGTATCTCATAGGAAAAACCCTTCAGACATGGACGGGCCCTTGAAGGTGTTTTCCACTAACACTCACACCTGAAAAGTGTAACATTTGAAATGGTCTCGACTGTACGGCATCTTTTCTTGCCAGAAGCTTCGTGTCTGTCTGCCGAGTTTTAATTCCGTGAAACCTGTTCCTTAAGATCGCAGGACTGCTGTGATCCTTGCTACAAACTCCTCCGAAATTAACTCCGCCGTCTTCGGAAGCATAACTGCACTTCATTACAGATTTAATTTAGATAAATGACGTTGGGGATGGGCGTTCATGTCGTAATCGAAGATAGCCGTCCAGGCAGGCGCGCGCTTGTCACTCGTGTTTGCTTGCTGGTGTGGACGTACAGTCTTCGTGACGAGAAACCGTGAAGAATACCGTCGACATAGTCGGAGAACACTTCGAGATAATCTGTACGTAGCTACACTCCGAGCAGAAGATCCCTCCCTGCAGAATGCTGAACCAGATGTTCGAGGGTGTTCTTGAAGCGACTGCATTCAGTTTATGGACGACTAACCAGGAACTGGTTCAGTGTTAAGAATCACTTCTGTAAGTCCTTTGAAATTTAGAAGGTAATGTGTAAGTTTATAGAATAAATCAAGAGCAGATTAAATTCGGGGAATGATTGCTGTAATTCAGTGCAAAATCTTTTGTCCTCCCGTCTCATATAAAAAAACTGAAAATTAAATTATACAAAACAATAATCTTGCCTGTTGTTTTGTATGGGTGCGAAACTTGGTCTCTCACTTTGAGGGAGGAACATAGATTGAGGGTCTTTGAGAACAGTATTTTGAGGGAGATATTAAGACCTGAAAGGGAGGAGGACGGATCATGGAGAAAATTGCATAATAACGAACTTCACCGCCTGTGCTCCTCTCCTGATATTGTCAGGGCGATTAAAATGAGGAGGATGGGAGGCCTGAAGGGAGGAGACCGCTGGGAAGACCTAGGATAACATTAAGATGGACTTTAAGGAGACAGGAATCGATGGAGCGAACTGGATGCAGCTGGCTCAGGATAGAGTCCGATGGCGGGCTTTTGTAAACACGGCGATGAACCTTCGGGTTCCATAAACAACGTGACATATTCATTGACAAATCGAGTATATACTAATCGACTTTTCGAAGAAATTCCTGCGCCAGAGAGTGAGTGGGTAAGAAGAGGTTATAATTCTTTACTCTCTTACAGCCGAGTGTGATGATAGTTCGTGCGATTTGCGATCATTGGCGTGGGTGTAGTTCTTTCTAACTTCGGCAAATGAACTGTGAATGAATCGATACATTCGAACAAGATGTCTACGCTTGGGAAGCCGTTGAAAGTCATAGACCTATAGAATCAAGTTACAAATACAAACGGTTGCTGATGCAATGCAGTGGGATGTTTTGTGAATATAAATATAAGTTTCGACAGGAGAAATACTTTGCTCAAATTAACTTTTACTGTACAGTATTTTCCTTCTTAATTTAATCTGTTACTGGTATTCTCTATACAAAATCCTAAAACGACTTCCACTTTCAATAAGAATTACTTCGGAATGAAGATTTTCTCACAGAGTCGAAGGCTCGTGTGACCTCGAATGGCGCAACACCAATACCAAATTTCGCTATCACTGAGTAACTGGATAAAATCGTGTTTGTTTATTTCTTTGTTTTACTGTACAGTATTTTCCTTCTTAATTTAATCTGTTACTGGTATTCTCTATACAAAATCCTAAAACGACTTCCACTTTCAATAAGAATTACTTCGGAATGAAGATTTTCTCACAGAGTCGAAGGCTCGTGTGACCTCGAATGGCGCAACACCAATACCAAATTTCGCTATCACTGAGTAACTGGATAAAATCGTGTTTGTTTATTTCTTTGCTTACAGACTGAATTCCCTGTTTACTCAGTTATTGCCTTAAATATTGATCGGCGTATTTATTTATTTATTTGTTTGGTTTTGAATTTAATTTTCAAATATTCCTCACACTTTATTTCAATGGATTAAATTACACAGAGCTTTATTTGGTCGCTGAAAGTGTTAATTCGAGAGGAGCGACAGTCCCCCCCCACCTCTGCCGGCGCTGATAACAGAGGGGCGCCGTGTTTCAGAACTGGTCCATCGCATCGTGATGCTGAGTGGCTCCGGTCTGAGTCCGTGGGCGTTGCAACGAGATCCCCTGGCCGTGAAACGAAAGGTAGCGGAGCAGACCGGCTGCCACGGGGACCTGGTGGAAGACGACCTAGCTCCTTGCCTGCGAACGAAGTCTCTGTCTAACCTTTTGTCAGTGCGGATTGACCCTCCACGTTTCCTGCCAGGCTTTGCCCCCTTCGTAGACGGTACTGTGCTCACCAGTGAAAGTGCAGGGAGAGGATTCGCCGATTCCAGTTTGTTGCTGGGGGTGGGCGTACAAGAACAACAAGGGTCCGCAGGAATAAGCTTCGAGATGGCCGATTTCCCCCACAGAGACCTTCTGTTTGGCCTGACGACCACAGAGTCGTACTTGGACCTTAGTGCACAGGACCTTGAGTTTGGTTTTGACGAGAGCCGCAGAGATCGAATTCTGCGGACGTTCGTCCGGAATGCTTACATTTACCATCTGAACGAGATCTTCTCAACCCTGAAAAACGAATACACGGACTGGGAACGACCCGTTCAAAACCCGCTCAGTGTGCGCGACGCGACGCTGGACGTTCTGAGTGACGGACACACAGTGGCGCCACTCATAAAGGTCGGGTACTTGCACACCCTCGGCGGGGGTCGCACCTACTTCCTGCATTTCCACCACCAGTCTGGCGAGAGGGACTTCCCCCAGGTAACTCGTCGTCTTGCCTCTTACAGGTTGTCGGAGTTTCCGTTTCTAGCGAATATTTCTTAGCCTTTATAGGTTAAGTACAATTATCTGCCACCTATGAAATGGAATACGTATATAAGGAAGGGGTTGTGGCCTGTTTTAGGACATTCCTTTTTTGTTCTCTGAAAAAGAAGCCTTAAGTAAGGATAGCAGACCTCCGGGGCAATATTTTAGCCTGGGAAGTCCTAAATGTGAACCAGGTGTGCTAACGACTTGTCTGCAGCGTTCAGTTTGCTTTTGTAGTGGATGCGGGTGGCACAACGTCGCCTCTTGTTTCAAGCCACAGCATGAATCCAAACTGTCGCTGTAACATTAATACGGAGCTGCTTGGTAACGTCATTGCCACTGCAATAAGTGGAATTGTTTGCCTGTCGTCTGGTTTAGACCACTGTTGCTACCAGAGCCTTGACGATTGAAACGGAGGAAATTGGCATTTCATGTAAATACAAAGCAGCTTAGATCACAACAGGAGATTTTTGTGTGGTTTTGTTACAAACTCATCCCTTTTTCGTAAACTCCCGCTGTTTAATGGGAACTTTGGATTGTACCTTGAAACAGGTTATGGCCGCCTCCTCCA